ACAAACATTTAACAAACATTAAACAAACAATAACAAACATTTAACAAACAATAACAAACATTTAACAAACATTTAACAAACAATAACAAACAATAACAAACAATAACTACGTTAGCATCACTGAGGCTCCTGTAGCTAACAACTGTTAGCATGTGCTAGCGGTACACGAACAATAAAAACAGCATAAACTCTTAAAAATACTTCCAGTTACTTCCTCTGCCGTCTCTCCACAGACAGTTGGTACAATCCCTCTTTCAGGAACAGTCTTTCAGCCAGTCCACTGTTGTACTGACCGAGGTTGTGAAAACAGTCCGACACAAAGTGGTTCACACACGAAACCACAATAAAAAAATAAAATAAATACAATTATGAACCTGAAAAGAGAAATAATATGTCTCCTTTAAGCATGTTGTTCTCTAGCCAATGTCTACAGGTCCAGGAAATGGTCAAAACAAACCTGCTGCTTAGCCAAAAAGGAGCTCTGTACATCTGCACTCGATTGCTCTTCCTGAACACCTTGACCCGTCTGTGACCTTAAAACTGTAATCTAGTGGTTTGAAATTGAGTTGAGATTACGACATTTGACTTTAGAGAGCTGAATCTGAAAGTACATAAAAAGTTGAATTTTTAGTGAGGCTCAAATTCAGTTTCAAACTAATAAATTCAAATTATTCAGATTCAGTTTTTTAATGCAATTATTCAAGTTGAGCAATTCAGATTTAATTTCTACTGACACAAAAATCAGCCCATACCATCACTCTTACTAGGTTGGGTGAGTTGGACCTCTACATTATTCAAATGAGGGAGCGTGAAGTTGAAAAGTTGACAATTTATTGCCTCACACAGTAACTATTTGGCAGTATATGGAAAATAAAACAATACAAACAAATAGAGCTCTTTCATAGAAAAGTAAAATAAAATAGAAAAGTTCAAATAAAAGTGTCCCTTCTTCTTATAAGAAGTTAAGAGTTCAGTCCGTTCTATTGACTACTACTACCCGGGTAGATTTCTGTGTTATTATCTGTATTAGAGAGAGAAATGAGATGATGTCTGGGCTCTTCAGAATGGATACCACGGCTGGCCACACCGTGCACCGTTCCCTCCAAGTTGCTCTTCTTTCCTGGCTCGCCACCGAACCTCCACTGGTTCGGATCCGGATCAAGTCCTAATCCGGCAAATCCAAAAACACTAATCTACACATAGAGTGCAGAAAACATAACCATTACTCTCAATCACATCATTCTACTTTCACTTTTCACTCTAAATATCTTCCATATCTATACCCAGATGCAGGATATACAGCATTCAAGTCATTGTAAATGAGTCTGTATACATTTACAGTACTGTAGAAGTATTTTTACCATCAACTTATATTTGAACATAAATGCACTTCTTTATATTTTTAAACAGCTCTTTTCATCACTATTTCTCTTTTTAACTCTTTTTATCCATAAATGAACAGTATTAAATTACTCCTTTTTAACCAACTTGAATATTGATACAACTACATTGCAATATAACACCTTATATACATCTCAGTTATCAGAAAACAATGATCACAACCTGCCATCATATCAGCACCAATATGCATCATAAGCCTTCTCTATTTCTCTCATTTAACGGCTGTAGCGACAGTTAGCTCACCCAGCTACACCGTTAGCACTCTCATTACATATTACAGTTAATACCTGAGCTAGCCATCTTTTTAAAGTCAGTTTACACTGTTCACAATGATACAAACAGTACCAAGGTGAGTTCAAACATTAGGAAACATTCCTGTAGCTCCGATTGGTTTAATAAAAGTATCTCAATGAAAGGCATCTTCACACAACAAGCTACATCAACAGCTAATAACGGACGAGGCCTCTTAGCATGTAGCAACCAGGCTAACCGGAGTTTCTCTCAGAGGCTCACTCAGTGAAGCTCCTCTTATCCACATAATGTACAATTCTTGTTCCTAATGAGCAAGAGACTTAGATTATTATTATCATTTATATATTATAATGTATGTATATTTGACTGTTTCATCTCCACTTTAAGACTCATCCCTTCACCCAATGAACCAATATCACAAATCACAAACTGGCCTCAAGGGGCTTTACAATCTGTACAGCATACGACACCCTCTATCCTCACAGCCTCCATTCAGATAAAGAGAAACTCCACAAAAACCCTTTAACAGGTGAAAAATCAAGGTGGAAAACTCCTGATTATTTCTACTGCTTTGGGAACGGCTGCACATTCAGATGCTGCGGTCGGTAGGCTAGCTCCTTCAAACTTCTCTGTTTAGGTTCAATCTGTTTTCAGCTTTATTGCTCAAACACGTATTACCTCTGACAGAAATAGACTGCAGTCATCAGCAAAGGAAGTGTGGGGTTTGGATTAAAGAGACGATCCACCCAGCCAGAACGGCAGGACCAGCCCACCTGCTACTTTCTTTTCATTGTGCAACCTTGGTTGTATACTGACAGAATAACTTACTTTGTACCTTGAAGAGCAACAGAGGAGGGATCCCTCTTCCAGGATGAGATACAATAAATGTTGTATGTACAGAATAGACCAAAACAACAATATGTACAATAGAATGAATAGTATAGGTAGACTGTAAACGTATATGAAGAATATGAATCAGGGAGGACATGGAGCAACTTCCAGGAGCCAGGACCAAGAATGTCTGTACAAGATTTTATTTGTCCATCCATCCATCCTTTGGTCCAGGTCCAATCCATGTGGACTAAAGTAGTGGACGGACAGACATTACCATCCATAGAGCAACACTGCTAGTGTGTCTAAAGAGACATTCAACAGCAGACAGGTTTTTGTATTAGTCTCTCTCACTGTGGGGGGATCTACCTACATCTTTGGCTCTGGAACTAAACTGTATGTAACAGGTAAGAATAAACCTTCATTTTCCTTCAGTTGTTTTATTGAACAAGTTGAAAATGTGTTTTTAATGAGTTTCTGCTGCTTCAGGCTTTACATGTTAGTTTTTTCATAATTAGTAGAGAATTCTTGCAGCCATGCAGCTATTGTTACATAAAAAAGGTTCATAATTCCTGAAAAGATGTTTAAATCTCACTGCACAACTGAAGTTATTCTTTATTTCTGCATGAGATCAAACTGATTTATATAGAAAAAGTATGATATTGGCAATGTTACAGATATACAGTATTTGATCATCTCAGTAATTCAGAACCATCTCCTGTTTTAATGAAACTAGATAATATATGATATTGGATATTGTTTAATGTATGACAGTAATTGTATGTTCAAAAGGAAATAAGTTAAAATACTTTGGATGGGAAAATGTTTTTGTTAAATGGTCAAATTTAGCTTGTGACAATCATATTTTTTATGATGGAAATATATTTATACATAAAGGACACTGAACATAATATTTCAATGAATATAATTACTGCATACTAATATATTTCTATTTATATGAATGAGAAAGTATATTTGCAATGTTACAGATATAAAGCATTTGATCAACTCAGTAATTCAGAACCATCTCTTACTTTTATAAATTAGATAGTATATATCAAATATAATTGTATATATGTCAGTAAATGTGTTTTGAAAATTAGATGAGGATAAATCATTTGTCATTTTTAAATTGTAAAATGAACCTCAGGACTTTTGAAGAGATATTTCTACATGACGGAAAAACTAATATTGAACTCGACTTAAAAAAAATAGAATTCGTGCAAAGTAATATATATATTTATGCATATGATATAGGATTATATGTGACTCCACACACATTCAAATGCACATATATATATTGATTATATTATATTTATAGATGGATAAAGTCCTATTTTATATTATATCACATGGTAGTATTTTTTCGCATTCCACATATCTTAACATTTTCAGTGTAATTGTGGATAAAGGCACCTAACCCCAAAACCTGCTCATGGGGCATGATTAATGTTGCAGCCCCATCACTCCACCATCTCTCCCCTTTGCATGTCCACAAGTGCATGAAGTGTGCATTGTGTCCTGTGTGTATAAAAAAAAGACTGAAGAGAACAATTTCCCCTAGGGGATCAATAAAGTATATATTATCTTATCTTACTGAACACCACATCTGCCTGCGCCACTGTATACATTCTGTAATCATTAAAATGACAGTTCTATTTCATATAAAGGTAAATATAGAAAAACAATTCTCTACTGTATAATCATACATACATTGTATGAAATTATTGTGAGTATTAATCATAATAATAATAATACGTGTGAAATCATAGTAAATGGACTAACATTAAAACAAAGAATTACATAATACATGATGTTCTTTATTTTGCTGTTTACCATCTGCTGACATTAGATGGTAAATATATTTGCTATGAAGGTGAATCCAGTATATGTAGTGGACTTTGTGCTGTATTGATGAGTAGTTTAGTGATCAGAGTCCATGTAGTTTCCAGGATCAGACTGAATGCAGTGCAGTGCTGTAAGCTGCTGTTGACTGTGTGAATGTGTGTCTGTGCTGCTTGTTGCTGCTGTCAAACTTCAGATGAGCAGATAGTGAAGCCCGTGGTGAGCGTGTACCCAGCAGAAACCAGAAAACACCTCGAGGTGAAGAGCTTCCTGTTGTGTGTGGCCTCAGCCATGTTTCCTCCTCTGGTCCGGTTCTCCTGGAAAAGACAAAAGGACAATGGTCCTCTGGAGAAGGTGACCTCTGCTGACAAAAAGCAGCTGAAGCTCAGAGAGTCGGGACGCACCACCTCCATGTTGCTGATCCCTCAGCGAGAGAGCGGCACATATAAATACTACTGCTCCGTCCAGCACGAGGGGGGTACAGTGAAGGCCCAAATAGAACAAGGTAATGAAGGATTGGTGACTGTTCAGCAGTGATTCAGCTTCATGTGGAGACGCTGTCAAAGAGAGCAGAGACTGACATTTCTTTTTGACTCCTTTCCTGTTTCAGAGGTTTCTACTCCTCCGCCACCTACAACTTCACCATCACCTCCAACATCACCTCCAACAATACTTATTCCAGCACCTCCAACATCACCTCCACCAATACTTATTCCAGCACCTCCTACATCACCTCCACCAATACTTATTCCGGCACCTCCAACATCACCTCCACCAATACTTATTCCGGCACCTCCAACATCACATCCACCATCACTTATTCCAGCACCTCCAACATCACCTCCACCATCACTTATTCCAGCACCTCCAACATCACCTCCACCATCACTTATTCCAGCACCTCCAACATCACCTCCACCATCACTTATTCCAGCACCTCCACCATCACTTATTCCAGCACCTCCACCATCACTTATTCCAGCACCTCCACCATTACTTATTCCAGCACCTCCACCATTACTTATTCCAGCACCTCCACCATCACTTATTCCAGCACCTCCACCATCATTTCCACCATCACTTATTCCAGCACCTCCAACATCACCTCCACCATTACTTATTCCAGCACATCCAGCTTCTGCCCCGTCTCAGTACCAGGTGAAGCTGCTCTGTCTGATGTACACAGTGCTGATAGTGAAGAGTCTGGTGTACTGCTGTGGACTCTCTCTGCTGATGATCCTCAGAAACAAGGGACCGTCCACCAACTGCACACATGCTGTTGACTATGACACCGATTGTGTTGGATGACATTTTTCTGCTTTCCATCAAATCTCATCAGTTGATCCAATTTATCACTTTGATCAGCAGTCAGTTAAATTCTGATGATTTGTGATTGGCTATATAATGTAGCTTTTTATAGAGAGGTTAGATATAGTCATCCTAAAATTATGAATGCATATATACACCTATATATTTCCAGTTACTGAGTTTGAGCGAATTCTCTCTGATAATGTTATTTTGATCTTCTGGTTTAGCTTTGCTTTTAGTCCTGACTCGTGTAAGTCACATGCAAAACTTAACAAAGCAATACAAATGTTATGCATTGTACAAAACATTTTTAATAAACTTATATTTGACATAATTTACAATAAAATTCTAATTTGAAACAATATTTTTATTGTCTTTGTATTGATGATGTCTGATGATAAATGTATGCAGGCTATGATCCTTTCTGTTGTGGTTTCATTTTTCTCGTCTCAATGCACCTCAATCGATGTCTATCTGACTTAGACTTTTAGCTATCTGACTATAGTGAGAGACCACAAACTCCCACTGAAGGAACCCAGAATGGTGACACAGACTCACAGAAAGCAAAGACAATTGACAGTTTCACTCCACGTGCAAGATTTATTTGCATCACACTGGATACAACAAACCGAGTTGTCTCGAGAATCAACTAACTAAAACAAAGAAAACCACTGTATTATATGCCTCTTTCCCAAGGATGTCTATTGGTAACGTCTAATGTCTGATGAACAGTAGTTATAACACATATGAGGCCCAACTCTCCAGGAGATAGCCTTGGTCTTTGGAATGTGCTCATGGCACAATGAATAACAACTCTCCTAACTAGGGTGAGACAACCAGAGTGTGAATACGTGAGGATGAACATACATGAACATAAAATATTATACTGTAAGCCTGTAAAATTAAACATGAAATAACACAACATAATATAGTTTGCTTCATGTTTACAGAACCTTATCCCTGAATGCATTTTCCCACTACATTTCCCACATAATAATATGTTGTATTATGATACAAGTTGGAGTCAGGCTGGAGAAACTGTAATTAAACTGTCACCTTTACAGAATCAATAAAACTGTTTGAATTAAAGACAACTTTCACAGTGAGTACTGAGAGCTGAAATCAAACTGAAGTTCCTGGAATGATTCTTTAACCAGAGTCGATGGTTGTAACTGTCATTGTGTTATTAATGTGAAAAAGTGCAGCTAACGGTGAGGAGGCTGCAGAGAGGAAACCCACACAGCCCGTCTGCTGCAGGAAAGGAAGTGTTGATTCGCTGTCAACAGTTTTTTTTATGAGTCCTAATAACCACTGAGAACAGATTCATATCTGTTGCTGTACACACTCATGAACTCCTCTCCCTCTCTGTAGTTGTTTGTCTTTTCTTTTGTTGTCTGTAGTTCTGTAAATGTAGCTTTTTAATTTGCTTAAATATTGCAATCTGAAAATATTTTCCTAAATCTTTAAATAGAATAACACTGTCAAACCAAACCAGACACATGTGAATCTGTGTTCAGAAATAACACTTTCCAATCCTTTTTTGGTCACAGCCACATATATAATAAAGTACTATAGGCATTAGGAATTGCTCTATTAATTCAAAATATAAAGACAAACCAAACCAAACAAAACAACCGTCACTCTGTCCTATAAGAAGCTTTAGAGATCATATACCATCATTTCCGGACTATTGAGCGCACCTGAATATAAGCCGCACCAACTAAATTTTCACTAACAACGACCACGCCATCAAATGTATGAAATAAGAAAAGTTTATTGCAGATGAACAAACATATGGCGGAAAAAGCAGGGCTACGTTGGTTTTGAGGTAAGGTTCGGGTCAAAGAAGCTGTGAGGGTGTGTGTTGTGGTTGGATGGGATGCAGCACCACGCCTCATTGGTTGTGATTCAGGGAAGAGCGAGCTGCGAGAACGCGGGGCTGGGTCGAGTATCAGAGGCGTGTAACCGTCCGGCTCTGATCTACGATCGGGCAACAATGAACGAATAATGTCGCAGAAAGAGGGGAACAGGAAGGTGAATTGTACTGCGATGCGTTGTCTAGAGTGGGTAGATAGTTACTGTTTGCATTCAATTGGACTCAATGCAGTTTAATGGTTCTCTGTGGATATGAGGGTTGCTTGTGGACGGATGTATTGAATGGCGAGGTCAATGCGTATATGTCTGAAAACTAATGTTACAATGATGGCTCTGAAATAAAAATGCTTAATTGTTGCGAGGCTTCTTTGCTTGTCTGGACTAAGAGGCGAACTGGTATTTTAAATGAACATGGAAAGATATTGCGTACATGTTTTAAGAATTTGCATAACAGATTAATTATTGTTAAATAAATATAAACAGGGAAGGAGAGGTGACCCTGGAATGAAGGGAGGACAGGGTCCCGGTGGGCCAAAGCGAGAGATGCAAGTTAAGACGGATGTATTGAATGACGAGGTCGACGTGTTTCCGTCTGTAAACTAATGTTACGATGATGGCTCTGAAACTAAACCAATAACTGTTGCAGGGCTTCCTGCTTGCCTGAATTAAGAGGAAAACCGGTATATTGAACGAAAGTGGGAAGATATATTGCATATACGTTTTAAGAATTTGCCATGAAAGATTATTTATCATTAAATAAGTATCAACGGGGAAGGAGAGGAGACCATGGAACTAAGGGATGACCAGGTCCGGATGGGCCAAAACGAAAGATGGTAAGTTTCAGACGGATGTATTGAATGGCGAGGTCAATGCGTATGAGTCTGTAAACTATTGTTACGATGATGACTGAAATGTAACTATTAGCCGTTGCAAGGCTTGCTGCTTGCCTGGACAAAGAAGTAAATTGGTATTTTGAACGAACGTAAAAAGAAATATGTTGCGCATACAATTTTAAGAATTTGCCATGAAAGATTAATTATCATTAAATATTAATGGGGAAGGCGAGGAGACCCTGGAACAAAGGGACGACCGGGTCCCGATGGGCCGAAACGAGAGATGGTAAGTTCGGACGGATGTATTGAATGGCGATGTCAATGCGTATGAGTCTAAACTAATGTCACGCTGATGACTCTGAAATAAAACTACTAACTGTTGCAGCAATAAGAGTCGAACCAGTATTTGAACAAACATAAAAAGATATATTACGTATACGTTTTAAGAGTTAGTCATGAAAGTTCATGCGTGCGGAATTAAATTGCAATGTCCACGTAATGAGAGACGGAAAACTATCGTCTGAGAGTGGTAACACAGGGATGATAGGAAGGATTGGCCATGCTGGAGGTAATGCGGAGGCTGGATCGAAATCATTATGCATGGAGGATGGGTGGGAAAGCCCACGATTGAGCTACATTGGACCTGTGGGGGAAAAAGGAGGTGTGTTAAGGAAGAGAAACACGGGCTACGTATGAAGAAACAGGAGTAGAATGAGGGTTTTGTGGCTGGGAGCGTGCCCAGAAATACATGAATTGTATTTGTGGACACGCTCTGTGCGCCTGAGAAGGTCGGTATTGGAATGGGAGGAGCAGAGGCAGCCGAAGAAGACGGGACAGGGAAGTTAGAAATGAGAGAAGGGAAAAGGATGCTGGGATGTAGGGATGCCTGTGCTCAGGTTGTTTGTGAAGGCGAAATGGTAGGTACTGGGTTTGATACCACCTGGTCCTCTGAGAGGGCTGATGAGGAAGGCTGGGCCGTGGGATGCGCCGTGACGTCATCGGCGTTGCCAAGGACGCGACGCCGTGAACCCGGAAGCGGCGGTGAAGTTTGGAGAGAAAGTGTGGTGTTTTCCTGGAAGTGCGTGGAAAGTTTTGTTTTGTTATCGGTGCGTTTCGCTGAGAGAGAGCGATCCTCGGGCAAATCACCGTAGTTTACGGCCGAGGGACAGCCAGAGAAACGGCGAGGTGAAGTCGGGTCGCGGTAGCTTTGCCCGAGGCTGCTGGCAGGAGGGAGGTCGGTCGGACGCTGGAGAACTTAACTGGACCTGTTGGGGGGCGAAGGCCCGATGGTGTTGGAGCTGTCGGTGGATGAAGGCTGGGAGTGTCGGAGCACGTGGATTGTTGAGCGGAGCCGCGGTGGCTGACGAGAAGGAATGGTAGTCGAGAAAGAGGACTCGGACATTTCGTGAGTTTGTCATCCGTCTTCAAACATGTCGATGTCTGAAGAGTTGAGCGTGAGCTTGTACTCCGTGGTTCGAGGTATTTGTTTTTGTGTTTCCTGTCTGACGCCGATCATGTGGGAAATGAGTCAAGGAGGGAGTGAACGGATAAGGTGTGCTTAAGTAGGAGCGGAAATGAGATGATTGCAGGGCGTGGTCTTTGTTCCCGAACCTAGTTATAAAACTTAATTAAAAAGAAAAAACTTGTCTATAAGCCGCAGGTGTCCACGTTGTAACATGAGATATTTACACAGAAAGATTTTTTTAATTTTTAATTAAATAAATGCTGCCGTCTCCAATGTCTCACCATCGATTCATTGATGCCAAGCTTACGTGCAGCAGCTGTTCTTCGACAGCCAGATCGATTGCCTTTAACTTAAAAGCTGCATCATGTGCATTTCTTCTTGTGTTTTCCATGATGAGGGTGCATGATGCGCAAAATGACTGAATGAACTGAATGAATTCAAAACACAATCAAACTAGCGTCTTCCTTGGCGCATTATCTCTTCCACCTGTCTGTCTCGCTCTTGCGCTTCCTGGTAAAGCGCCCCCTGGAGGAAGTTAGCCCGTAAAAATCTATAGATTAGCCGCATCATTGTTTAAGCCGCAGGGTTCAAAGCGTGTGGAAAAAGTAGCGGCTTATAGTCTGGTAATTA